TTTGTGTGTTCTCTTTTTTTTTGTGAGGTGTGTATATATATATATATATATATATATATATATATATATATATATATATATATATATATATTTTTTTTTTTTTTTTTTTTTTTTTTTTATTTTTTTTTTTTTTTTTTGCTTTTGGAAATTTTTCCAGTAACAAAGTGAAGTTGATGAGAGTGAATCAACAAGTACTGGTGACTTCAGCTTACACTTACCTCTGAAAATAAAAACTGCATCAGGGAATAAGATTTATTCAACCTCAACTGTGTTTCAGTTCTAGGTTGGAAATCTAGTAGGACCTACTATATCCGTCAATTCCCAGCATGCATTACTTTGCATTTTGAACTTCCCAGCACTGCAGCGACGTGTTCATTAAAAGATAAGGTACTCTGTTAAAGATTTAATGAGATAAAAATGTAATTGGTTCAAATAAATACAGAATGCCTTTCATTTCTACTGTTCCCGTTGTACTACTGCTTCAAAATGTCTTCCACTGTGGTGGTACTAGAAGTACCAAAGGGCTGCTGGCTTATGATAAAGGGTAATTTCAACAATTACAACCTAAATTTAGAGCTAACAAACATCTTGAGAGCCCTTAAACATTTTATACATTGGCCTTTGCTGAAAAATACATTTACACCTAATGTAGCTTTTATGTCAAACAGGAAGTGTCACTCTAATTTATTTTTACTGTCAAGGCTGTGAAAACTGAAACATTTCTTCTCAGGACCTTAGTAAAACAAATTACATTCCTGCTATATCACAAACCATTAACAGCAGAGGTGCCTGTCTGCAGACTTACATGATCCAGATGCCTCCATTCATCAGCCCACTCTCTGTCTGTCAGTCTGTGGTCCACCGGCTCCTCACGATAGCCTCCGTTAGTGCCTGATTAGAACACACACAAGAGAGATAGAGGGCTGATGTGATTAACATTCCTTTGAACTCACTCTCATTAGTCACAAGTGACAATGAGAGTGAGTGAAAGATATGAAATATCACAAGAAATATACACTTTTAGATTTTTCGTTCATCCGGAATACACGTCAGAGCGAAAAAAAAAAAATCTCTCCAGTACCAACTGCGCTCAAAAAACCAAAATAAGTTAAAAGTCAAAATGGAAGCTCGTAAAATATCAAGCCTGACAGCAGCGATTTGAGGTTACCGCTTCGAAAAATAAAACCCAAAAAAAAAAGAAAAAGAGGCATGGGACAGTGAGCAACAGAGGTGGAGTGAAAGGGAAAACCTATGATGCAAAACAGACCCTTAGCACGCAGAGCCTGCACACATCTGGAAGTCAGCTGTCAACCACACACACAAACAGACACACACAGTACTCCCACAGCACCTCCCCTTCTGCAGCTCACGGCATTCCAACAGGGAGACACTCAGGCTGAGTGGAGTGGCTCCACTCCTAAACACAACCAGCCGCTCTGACACTCGCTGTGGATCCTTGTGTCCCACATACACACAGGGATGTGTTTCCCATCGTAGCTCGACTTAGGCAATATCTAATTATACACTGAAGAGAAATAACAGTTTGCACACATGGGGTAGAGCTCGTGCAGAAGCCAAAAAACATCTTGAACCCATGTCCACAAACATAGGAACTGCATTAAAACACACATGCACGGCATACAATGATGGAAATCACCATCTCTTCAATCTGAGTTTTTCAAAAAAAACAAAAAGGCAACGAGACAAAAGATGAACGCACAATCTCAAACACAAACACACGCACACACACTCTTGCCTTCCCAAAAATCTTCCCAACTTCTGGATCTCATCAGCGTTCATCAGTTCAAAGCTACAACTGGGGGGGGGGGGGGCCGAGTGTGTTTATCCTTGTGTGTGTGTGCTTGTGAGTTAAGTGGCGGCAGGCGGGTAGGAGGCTGTCAGACAGACTAAAGGCCTCGTAAACACGGCACCTCTACCCCGAATACATAGGTGTGTATGTGCTGTTGCATGTATGCGTGTGTATGCGTGTGTGAGCTACTGCTGTTTCCACTAAGTGCTGACAAGCTCCAAATGGAGGGGCAGATATACACCAGAGTAGAACCAAACTCCCCCTGCCTGGACAGTACAGCTCTGTTTATACACGTATCTGGACTCCAGAGATATACCGAGATTTTAAACAAACACATTAGACCACCCATTACTGCGTACAGATTAAAATATGATATGTATGCGTTTCTGTTTTAGTGGCGATTTTCTAAATGCATGTTTAGCTACTTGCAGGAGCTAAACGGAAGGAAGGAGGACTGTTTTCTACATTTTCCTGATTATAGCAAAGTGATTTATTAGATCGATGCATGCCTGCATGACCGTCTAATAGATTTAAAGAAGAAGTGTCTACATTTGCAGAAAAAGTACACAAAATACTGATGTTTCATATTTTTGGTAAACTAATTAAAACTATGTCAATGTGAAAAATGTAATTTTAAGCTTTATCTATTCACTCAATTTATCTATGTGCTTAAGTCAAAATAAGGTTCAAATGTGACAAAAAGGAATGTGCACTTGTCAAAATCACATTTCCAGTGCTCTTGTTCCTTCAGTGACTTGTTTACTTTATCATTTGCACAGACATATTAACATTCAGTTGCAGCAACGTTTGGGCTTAATTGGGTTTAACAGTTGTTGATCGTCTTTTATCCAAACTGACATCTATATAGCCAGTCATATAAAAAAAAACAACAAAAAAAAACTTAAAATTTTAAAAAACAACAGTGTCTGTCTCCACTGATCCTCATGAAATATAAGACCGTTGTTGAGAGTCAGTAAGGCATTTCATTCAGTCACAAGCTGACACACTTCAAAAGCATTTTAAAGCCGACACACACTGTACCTTTAATGCTCTCCAGGAGAAATGTTTCAAAGCACCGCAAAAAGTATCACAAGTATCCTGTCTGTCACCTACCAGGCAGTCGTGGCCTGTCCTTAAGTTCACGGATCTCCAGCACACGTTGGCTGTGCTCGCGGTGTAAGAGGTGTGGAGCTGCTATGTCATCCAAGGCATAGTGTTGCAAGGGTGGAGGAGTTGGGTGAAGCTGGGCAGTGAGGGGCAGCGGATGGGCGGGGCTGTGTCGTGGAGCGGGGCTGATGGTGCAAATCCGTTTAGCTGCAGGCTCCATTGCTACTGGAGGACGTTCATGGAAGCCGTTCTCCTTTGCCCTAAAAACAAGAAAGTGGTTCTCAAGTGAACACGTCTCTCTGCAAACTTACTATTTAGGTAGAGCTTAATTTTAGAAGAATGCGTGCTAATGCCATTTAACCTGCTGGGGCTGTGTCGTTTTGTCCCTGCCTCAGGAGGCTCCATCAGCAACTCAGAGGAGTCTGGAGAGGAAGTCATGGTGGTGCTTAGCAGGAGGTGCTCATGCTGAGACAAGTACTGAGCTGGGGTCTGCTTGGCTGCTCGTGCACAGTGGAGCAACTCCCTCTGCAGCAGGGGAAGGTTTGCCTACAAAATATACAATAATATTGTTTTAAATTAGTCCACTGGCCTTGACAGTAACACAGTTAAGGCCTGATTAATGGAAACCACATCTACTCAAACACAAAGCCATATATGATGAAATTCTTGCATCACCAAAAAACAGTCAGATTTCAAAAAGTGCACGGGAGAGTACAACAGCATCATATGGGGTTTGTTTTAATAGAGATTGTGGGAGAAATATCAATGGCACTAATTTATGAGGAGAAAAATAACTGTAAAATAACTGGATACACTACAACGCATCAGTTTACAGAACAAGATAACATGACTTTGGCCAAGGAGTTCCCGTAAAGATCTGGCACCAGAGAGAGGAAACAAAGAACAGGGAGCGCGACTTCTTGAGGTTTGGCTGTATAGCTGGGCTTTGGGTGTTGTTCTGTGGCTGCCTCCATAGTGGCTGTGGCTTTCCTAATTCAAATAAAAAATGGCAGCACTACCACTGATGATGATTGCTAACCTCCCACACAGCAGGAGGGATAAGCACACTTAGACTGTATTGGTTACGGCAAAACTATGTATGATGGCACCAAGACTTCAAAACATTTCAAAACAATTGATGCACAAGCTCCAGTACTTTATCCTCCCTTGCACTGTCCATTTTTACATCCACATGTACATATTTATCCGTGTCTGTCTGCTGAATCTTTCCATCTTGCTTTTGTTCCCTGTATTTCCCTAATTGGGAACAGACTCCAGTGTGTTTGCAATTACACCACTTCCTCACCCCCACTGCTCTCTCTTCTTGAGCAACCAAATAAATAACCATTGCCTTCTCATTTTATGACTGACCTCATCCTATCACAGAGCACTCCCAAATGGTATTTAAAGTTTTTTTTTTTCTTAAACTGCACCTCTTACCCTTTGAATATGACATCTTTGTTGAAGTTGAAGTTCATGCAATCTCCAAACCTGAAAGATCCTCAACTACGCCTCTGTGCCTATCTATCAAGATTTTCTACATCCCTTCTTCCCCTGAGGCCCCCAGAAAGCAGACACATGTGCTGCATGTAGGGGCTCTCTGAGGTTCAGTGAGGCGGATGCTAGTTTGGCGGTGCCTTGAAAGCTGAATGCTCTTTTAAAAAGGGACAGCGGCTCCATATGGCGCAGTACAGACCATAAAAAGAGATGGGAACACTTTATGGGCATGTTTCACACTTCCGAATTCCCACTTTTCCCCGTCTCCTCCTGAGCCACCTCTTTCTCTTTTCCCTGTTTACAAAATTTACCCCATCGGTCCCATCTCTTGCAAAGCTCCCAAAGAGTTGGAATAACGTTTAGGAGGGAGACGACTCCTCTGTAGTAAATTAGTAGAAGACGGAGAACAGAGAATTCTCCTTTCTGGAAGACAGATGGAGGGATTCCAAAGGTAAGTCAGAAATAAGTGTGGAAAAAAAAGAAGAGATTTCGAGTGTTTAAAGAACAGCGCTACAACTGACTGAAGATTTATGGGCTGCTTCGCTGAGGGGAGCTTTTAAAAGGTATACTGTTGCAAACTCACTAGGTACAAAGAGCCTCAAGAGGCTGTTTGACAAGAACTCATCTGCTACTTGTCAAGTCAGAGATGAAGTCCTGATTGGTTTAAACCATTAACAAGGAAATTTATGCAGTCATCAATACTACACAAAAAGGTGGCTATTGATTGTTACGCTGCATCTTGGGAAGTTATTTTTTCTCATGTATTGTTCAGATCAAGTTCAAACTGGGTTTTCCTGAGGTAGCTAATTTGACAGCATGGAGGAAAATAGGGTGACTATATGTTACTTAACTGGAAAAGACAATAAAGCTGCTGCCTGCAACCAAAACCTGGAAATGATCTGACAGAAAGTCAGGAGGGGGAAGGTATGTTTACCTTGAGAAAAGGAATAACAAAGGGCCGCAAGGGGAAGTTGGTGGCCTCCTGAAGCCTTGAGTGAAACTCCTCAATGGTAACTGTTGAGTTCTAGGAGAAAGGCAGAGTTAAGTGTATGAAAACAGTGAACAGATGAATTTCTACAAAATACTGCCTTTTTTTTCCCCCTCCTTCTCTTAAACATCAAAGGATTTACCACAAGGGCCAGAACTAGGCTTCTGACGCTGTCTCCGATCTCGGGAGAAATGTCGTTGCCAAACTGCTGCAGCGTGGTCAGGAAACGTTTCAGCTTGCTCAGCTGGCGAGCCCCACAGGTGGCCGGCAGCTGCTGATTAGCCAGCGATGAAGATGAAGAAGAAGATGGTCCATTGCTGTAACGCTGTGGTGGTGAGGGCACCGCGTTCAGCGTTGGTGGGGAATGATGATTCCCATTTGTCACTGGGGAGGAGAGGTGAAGTAAAAATAAGCTCCGATAAGTGGTTCCAGATGCTCTAAAATTATTTGTGTTACTAAGCCTTCTTTCTAAGTCTGGACTAGTAGTTCTACTTTAAGAATATAAATCAGGTTTGAGGGGGAAATGGCAAGCCAACTTGAAGCGACAACTGACCAAGAATGCACAGAGATTTTGGAAGTTTTCTTACATGCTGTGGTGGAAAAGGAGGCCGGACGAGGGCCACTGGGGTTGACAGAAGGCAGGGGTGGCATTGTGGAGCTGGCGCTGCTGCTGGGGGCTGATCTGGAATGAGTCTTAGCATCCACAGGCGACCCGGGCATGGCAGGGCTCTTCTTCTCTGTACTGTCTGTGGAAGGACAGCATGAGGTCACTTATGGGCCAGAGCCTAATTAAGAAATGTCCTCCTAAATTAAGACAAGTTTTACAACAAGATATTCAAAATTAACTTGTATGTCCAGAAGATACAAATATGTAATGTAGATAATTGGATATTGAACACTCTGAAAACTGAAATATCTGACTTCAGCTAAAGCCGTCACAGTGGACAGCTCAAAGGAAAGCAAGTATTAATGCAAACACAACAAAAAGGCCAGTTCACCTATTAGCTCACTATTTATATTAATGCAATGGATTCAAGTGTGTAGCTGTGGAGGAACCACCACTGCACAACACACCCACACACACACACACCTAAACCCACTTCACATCATACAACACATACTGCCAGGGCACCAACCGCCCTGCCCCCATCAAAGAACCAGATGTCTAAAGTTTAGCCCCTCACTCTCACCCATTCAGATCAATAGCAGAAGAAATGCTGAAGAAGTCTATTGTGTGAGAGTAGAATGCCCCCTCATTGAGAACCCCACTAAACAGTGTGTGTGGGGGGGTTGAAGAAAGAGCCTAGAGATGTGGAGAGAAAGGGACGGAGCCATTTCACGCTTTACTAACAAGATCGGCAAAGCTTTTGAATGTTAAACCCAACTTCTCAATATGCTATTGACTGTGAATAAGACCACCAGATAAGGGGTTTGGAGAGAGTGTAGCGGGGGGCGTGGTTGTGGTTGGAGAGGGGGCTACGTGGGATCAGAAGCCGTCTTTGTCTCGAAGAGATCCATGAAGCCCGGGTCCTGTCTCCCTTTAGAGTGGATCAGACTTTTTTAACTGCTTCAAGAATTGACAATTAATAGACAAGCAGGGTCTCATGGGTCACAGGTCAAGGGAGAGCAGCTTTTAAAAAGTGGTTTCATGGTTTTAGGGCTTCAGCTTCAATAGCGCTCTTTATACGTTTTTCACAGCTATGAACTCTTGATAGCCTTGAGCTATAGCTTTCCAGTTTATAAAGGGTTAAGTTGGAAGGGGCTTAGCTGTCAAAAGCAAAATCTAAAAGCCTTTAACAAACATGGTACAAAATCATGCAAAATTGCTAGAAAGAAGGAGCAACAAAATTTCAAATTGAGATGCGTACTCTGAATATATTTCATTCAACCTTGCTAAACTCTTCACATTACTCGTAGTCCTGTTTGTCTTTTTGTGTCCCATGTGCAGACTCTCTGTCTGGCAGTCTGGGTCTCAACTCATTATACAGCTTTGACTGTTCATCCTTCGTTTTCCAGTCCTCCTCAACCTCTCTTTCCCCTCCATCTCTCCCCGTTCTCTCAGCTCAGCCCTCTGGCCTGCCTGCCATCGCTCCACCTGTTCACCGACACAGGGGGCAGGAAGGAGGGATCTACGCAGACATTTGGATTGCCATATCCACCACATGCGCGGTTTGCCAGCACACCGCAGGAAGCAGCCTGCGGCAAGCAAGCATGCGCGCACGCACACACCGCTTCCAAAGCCCTGCGCACTCTGTCCGTATGGCCAGGAAATTAGACTGACATCTCAATAACAGAATCAACGGGGCATATGGCCTTAGTGTCAACATTGTTATCGTGTAAACAATTTTCTACAACACACATATCCAATATTGTCTCCTGGCTTGCACTAACAGTTATCTTTTGAAAAATTTGCAAATTTTATATTAAGATTAAATATTCTTGCAAACGGCTAACAGCTTTTGATGGACATGCCTTTATAATGCCAAAGAAAATAAACACAACTTTTTAGTGACCCATTTTTTAAAGGGAGCTAGGAAATTAGGTTGCAGCTGTGTTCACGCAATCTTAAGAGATGGTAGTGTCTGTCGTGAGCCAGAGGTAATGGCCTAAACAGGAGACATCAGGTGTGTGTTCATGTATTGCTGTCAGCCCACAGAGAATTGCCTCTGCTTGTCAATTAGACGGCACACATAGCTGGATGACTTCATCTGGATTGCCAGCACCTGAGCTCTGTTGTATACGGACGTTAGGACTTTCAGAGGGGAGGCAGCTGTCACTGCAACCACAAAACACACAAGCGCCGAGTGCGTAAAGTGGTCTAATGTTAACTCAGGTGAATATTGGCTCAAAGGAGGATGTGGGGTGTTTGGTCTAAATGCCACCTGTCATCCTTGCGGTAATGGAACAAAGGAAAGGTACATACAACTCCTAAACACACATGGACAAGGGCGTAATAAAATGCATTTTGAAAGAAATGGGGGACATAATTTAAGGTAATTTCATAGCATATATATAACTGACACTAAGATTTGTGGCTATTGTAACCAAAACATTTTCCTTTCCTCCTCCCACTCCTTGCTGCTCTTCTCTCCCTTGCCTATTTAGAGATAAATATAAATTATATTTTATTTCTATATCAACTGCTATTGGAGGTATGGAAGAGCAAAAAAAAACATCTATGGTGATGGCTGTTGCTAGCCAGGTGTTCCTTGTTTGTTCAGCTTCAGGTGACACTCGTCTGCATTAAAACATTCAGCCGGCGTTAATTGCCTCTGCATCCGCAGGCGATGACTCGAAATGGGGCTAAAACTGAGAAAGAGAACGCAATTGCCTTTGTTGAACTACAACATGGAGCAAATGTGTTGAAATCAAGAAAAAAAAAAGAAGAAAATGCTACAAAAATCTGAACTTATCCCATGTGAAATAAGAGGGTGCATAACCTATTATGCGTGGATAAACATACGTCATGCCTGGACATATATAAATGCATATATGTTCAGCGCTAGTGTGTATCTTGCTCTGGGTTTAACTCTGAAGACTAAACTCCAAAGGTTGGCAGCTGTGAGGTGTTGGCCTGCTGAGCACTCTGCTATCTCTGTCCTGTCAAATAGATGAGGTGAGAGAAGATGCAACACATAGAGGGGTAATTTATCACCGAGAATAAAAATAAAGAAGTTTTAGCATCTGGAATGGGAGGATTCTTTAGGGCTTTGGATTAACAATCACAAACACCTGCACACCATAGTAATGACTTAAAGTTATCACTTTTTAGTGGAGTGACTTGGAAAGTAACTGAGTAAACAAAACATTAACATACACAGCTAGCATCATGCAAGCAAAAGCTTTAGAGCATGTTTACTGGATAATGAAAGGTAGCAAAGAATAGCTATCCAAGTTAGACTTGTACCCAGAGAGAATTTTTCAATCTGGAAGATTAAGTGAGATTTCTCAGGACATGTAGCTGTAACTAATAAGACCACCTATCGCACACCGACTGAACCTACAAGTGGAAATACTATGACTTCATGAGATCACTTGTTTTTGTACATGTTAGAATTCAGGTTGTAATCCATTACAAATCTATGATTTACACCATCCCCACAAAAAAAACATGGTGTGACACCACGGACAATCGATGTTGATGGGAAGATGGAGAAAATGCAGAACAATCATGGAAAAGTCATGAAGCTGGGTATTAAGAATTGTGAACTGAAATGGTGTACTGTTTGATGTTTCCGTGTTCGAGTGACATAAACAGCACAAATATAGATTTGTATCGTCTTCTTTTCAACTCATCTCTGACAGAAAAAATTTTTTCAACTAAATGAAATGACTGTGCTTCTTTACAGAGAATGAAATGTTACAATTTCTGTCCATCCATCCATCTCCACTTCATGCTGCTGACTATCAGCATTTAGCAACAAGAGAGGGAGGAGTAGAGCTATAACACTTTTTGCTACAGAGTTTGAGAAATCTCCTTGCCTGGCACTTTTTTGAGCATTAACAAAAAAAAACTTTAAACTGCTTATGGGTATATGGAAAATGCTTGCAATTTTGAAACCGTGGAACATCTTGATACCGCTGACTGGCTCATGGCTAGATTCAACAGGAACGTGGCATCTGTTGTTCAAATTATAACTTGAAATAGGAGAGTGAGACTCAAAGACTTTAGAACACTGGCTATTAAACTTTACAGTGAGCATGAACTCTATCAAGAAAACCCATATTGTCTCTGGTATTATTCAACACCAACCATCTATTTATACTGACAATAACCGATGAAATATCCTATATGTGTTGCACAGGATTGATAAAAGTCAAATAATTCTGTTCTTCAAAATGCTGGCTGTTTATTTCTCAACTTCTTCGATGCTTGGACCTCGCATAATATGCTATGAAAAAGAAAATCAGCCCAAAGCACAGACAGCAGCGATTGATTTGAACATTAACCAGGCTTTCTTTCCTCCTCCTGTACCATATGGATCTAATCGGCCAAGAGCAAGCCAGCTGGGACCTCCAACAGTCACCTGTGAGGGAGGGGGGAAGGCATAAGGGGCTGCTGAAGCCTCCTCCTCCAGGCCAAGGCAGCCCCAGCCGACATCCACCCATACACATATAAATACACATCTCTGCCTTGCTATCAACGGAGAGAAGCAAAGAAGGCGGAGGGGCACGGAGAGGGGGAGGGGAGGCACGAGGCAGCTGAATGCGAGCGAGTGGACTTAAATGCTGGGGAGACAAAGGCTGCACCTGGTCCCCGTCCGTCCGCGCACACAGTCACAATACAGCACACATCTGTTCCTCTATCCTGCGTTCCCTGCTGACCTTCACCCACCCACACACACACACACACAAAGAGGCAGCAACACAATCACATCCATTAAAAATAATTCAACAGTGCGCGCATGATCCCCCCAAATGTCAATTGTTGTAACCTAGAAGATAAATAACAGGTTAAATAGCTTGGTGTTAAAACATCTCTAAAACGTGTGTCCTTGGTTACTTTACTGAGTTCAAGCTACTTCTCCCCTGGGACCGCACGACTTCTCACCCATTCAAAGCTGAGTCAAACTTAAAACATACAAACACAATTTTTAAATTAAAAACATATAAAGTGAGACGGGAATTTTTTTTTTTTTTGCGAATGTTCCAAAACAGCTGTATGTAGTTTCCTAAAAACTAAAAGGTTTTACTGTGTTATCACAGCGAAACCTTTTAAGACCCTGAGAGAGTTTAAACCCAGCTCTGACAGGAATGAAGAAATTAGTCATCAATTTACAGGCGCCAGAGCTGGCGAAGGGAGGATTTGAACTGTGAGGTAAAGATGGAGGATGGGAGGGAATAACAAGGAGAAAAAAAATACTGTTTTCATTTGGTTTCATCAGGAAGACAAGCCTGGTTGTCAGACTCAGAGCCAGGCTGTTTTTCTTGGCTCTCATTACCACCTTCCAGGCCTGTAGACTACATATTTGGATAAAACCCAATGTCAACACTCTGTGAGGAAGGCGAGCGATTGGGGAGGTGGCAAGGTTGACAGTAAGAGGAAAGCAAAAAAAAAAAAAAAGAAGTGTATACAGTGACAGAAATGGACAACTATAGAAGATAATAAACAGATCTGAAAAAACCAGGGCTGTCATGTATGCATGTGAAAAAGTAATATCCCTGAAATAAATTCCTCACATGTCCCTGTGACAGAGTAATGCTGGGAGAAGCCCTTGCATAACCTTTTTTGCTCAGTGAGATAATTAGAAAAACATTGCTGTAATCCAGCATGCCACATAGGGGGAAAAAACAAAAAAAAAAAACATGGATGGAAATGTACTTAGTGGCAAACTGAAAAAGAAAACGTAAGAGGGGACGGCAAGGCAGACAGACGCTGTCCATAAAACTGAGAATGAGCAATAAAAAGAGGTTTGGTGATGTGATGCTGGAGGGAGCGGGAGGTTTGGCAGATGTTGGACACATAGTGTCCACGTGGATGTGAAGTCATGTAGTTGGGCTAAGAATGACGGGACAGCATCTGAATGCACTAACCTACAAAATCTATAATTTGGGATTTGGGATTATATCAGCTAGTGGAAAAAAATATATAATAGGAATTAGTCACCATCTGATAACAATAAACTGATGTGATTTGTAGGCCCTCAAAACAGACACTATGATGATCAAGATTGTTACTTTTGCTGTTCATACCATTTTTTTCCACTTTCGGTTTCATGAAAGCATTGATAAAGGTTTTTATTTTTCAAAATATCCTTTATTTTACTATGAACAGGCCTAATGTACCATCTATTCTGGTGTAGTAAAATACCTTATTGAAAACTTTTTTTTCAACCAATATCTGTATTTCTGATTCAACATTGATGCATAGCCGAAATATATGGCAACTGTAGTTTTTGTATTATTAGAACTTTGAATTGAAAAGATTTGAAATTTGAGCTCAATCATAAAGAAATAAGTGGGAACCTGTAAAGCTGGGCAAAGACTTAAGGAGCTGAAAATAGGCGCCATTTAACAAGACGTGGGTTTGCCATCAATTGATTTTGGAGGACAGTTGCCACTCAGTAACAAATACGCCCCTTTTAAAGCCTGTCTGGGACATGTGTAAACACTTGAGCTGAAATTTAAACAGCGGTCTAACAAGGACATTTCAAATGTATCAGCCAAGCTCTCAGACCTACTCAAAATCAGCAGATTATCTGTCCATCTGGACAACAAATCTTGCCGTCTAGGACTGGCTAGCCCCTGGTTCATGTGTTATAATCCGGGTGATGAACGGGGAAACATTTAAGTGTTACAACAATGTTGGTTTACTGGCCATTTTCTTCTGCACATTTCAAATACATCAAGCAAATATCAGGAACATGCTGATTATGTACATGCCTTAGTGTTTCTGGATGACTGGGAGTGAGTGTCTCCTGAATCTTGTAAACACAGACCATAAACCTAACCTGCTACCAAATAAATGCCGCTTTTTCTCTAAGGCAATAGTAATACACCAACTGATCAAGTCTGTTGGAGGAGTCCATAAAACAAAGTGCAAGCCCCAGACATGAGGAAACAAAGCTAACAATAGGGCTGGCCTGCATTACACCAGGTGTGACAGGCTTTAAGAGCCCAGTTGACTGACTGGGCTCAGGTCCAACCAGATGTTGCTATCAGCACGCGCCACTGCCACACTGGTGACTCAAGAGAATTTTCATTTGAGCGGGACAAATGCTCCAACAAGGCAAGTCTACAGCACCAGGCTTAAACAAAGAATTGATCCTGATTTAACACACTCTAGCTCTGGTGATGCAATGAATTAAAGCAAGGCAGAGCAGCACATTTGGTTCACAGAGTACATAAACAAAGCTGTGGGTAAGCCCAGAGCCCAGCTGTATGGAAGAGCAGTGCTCAACAACCACTCAGAGAGACAGATAAGTAAAACAAAGAGGCCAGCTGTGCTCAGAACAATGTGAAGAATGAGACACTGGGAACAGTGGAGGATGAGTGTGTTTTTTTTTTTTTTTTTTTTTCGCAAGAGTTTAGGTGCCTTTGCTGCATAATGCCGGGGGGTTGCCTACAATTTCTTTGTAAATGTCACAGAACACACCACAAGGAGCAATATATTGAAGCACGAAAACACTGCTGACGGAATCTCAGAAAAGCCAAAAGTTTTGTGTTTAAATGGTAAATCGTAGGAGGCAGGAAGAGCCTATGAAATGTAACTTTTAGACTTTCTCACAATGATATGGGTCAAAAGAAGGTTGGAGAAATTAATGACTTCAGCAAGCAATTCGTGGAGAAAGACAACACCACCAATTTCTTCTCAACCCATGGACCTTGCAACTTAGCTCACATTTTTTTAGTTCTTCTGAGCATGAACAATGGTATTATTGGTTTTGTTTCATCAAACATATTTGGAAATTGCTGACTATATATGTATTTTTATTATGACTCCATTGCATTATAGCTGTATTCTTTGCATTGAAGGGACTTTAAGAGTGGATCTAACATCATTGCAGAAACATAGCATCGCATAGAAAAACCATACCATGTTAATGTTACAGCTACTTTGGACTTTGATTGTTTAGTTAAGATATAGACAGTATGAAACCTGTCACACCTCTTGTCAATCAACCATTGAATGGAACTCATTCCCCCGTCTTTTAGGCTTCTTAAACCATACAAGACCAGTAAATAAAAGTTTTGTATTGGGTCATCGAGCAAGTCTCTTGGAAAAGTGAAGGGTCAGTAAGCCCCTCCGATGAACCCACTGCTCAGACACTTTAGATAAAGAAAAAGAATGAAATATTAGAGGAAGGGGGAGGGAGAAAGAGAGAAATTTTAACGCTGACAGACTGATGTGCACCTCTCTATGTTAACCAAAACATATCATATCGCTTTTTACCAGTTCCCATGATGAAACATTTTAAGCACTTTTTTCTACAAGGAGTTTATGCGAAAATCAGATTGTAAGCTTCCATACACGTTCTGTTCAAATGCACAACCTCTTGCTGAGCCCTGGGGCAACATATCACCGCCCTTGCCAATGGAACTAATAGAGCACTTCCTGCAGCAAACTCCACAAGCAGCTGCTCTGTTCTGTGTGCGTACATGAGGAAACTGAGGGGGGGGGGCTATCTGTCACAAATTCTTTAGAGCAACTGGGCAGGGGTCATTGTGCTCTTATTCTCCATTTATTCCAACACATTTAGCAGAGAAACTCACAGCTGGGACTGAGGTCAGAAAGATAAAAAAGGTGAAGAAAGCTATAAGACAAGTAACCTTGTAGTCTCAGCAGACACAATATCTGCAGTACACCTGGTTCACAGATGTTTGACTTAGGCTCACTGCCCAACTCAAACATGAGCTTATCATGGACTAGATAAGGAACTTCAAAGCAATGCAAGTAACAGAGACGACAGTGGCCTGGCAGGTAAAAATAAGTTTTCTGAATAAAAATTTAAATAATTGGAATGGCCTCCATGAAAACACATTTTCAGACTCACTACAAAACAGAGCCTGCTGCCAGGAATATGATGAAATCCAGAAGACCAGACAGGGGTCTCTGCTCTGAGGCTGTGCAGCCGACAGTTAGTCGCTCCTATCTCCCTGATGGCCTGGCCAAGTCTGACATGACACTGGCCAGGTCCCTTTTTTTTTTTTTCTGTCTGTTTCTTTCTCACAACAAGCCTGTCAGATTGCACAGAAAAAAAAAAAAAAAACAACAAAAAAACAGGAAGATGCTTTCTCGAGCATGGAGGTGTACCTGGGTAACATTGAGAGAGCAAACAGTGGTGCAACACTCGTATTTGCTCCCACATCCCATTAATGTCAAGGCGCCACGTTTAGACCGAGTATGAAAGCCATACAGAGCGGTCTCCCTCCTCTTCCCATATGCCCGGGATACTGTACAACAGATGCACATCTTTTCTTTACCTAGTTTCTTCTGCTCTGCTTGTCATGTGGAAGAATTGATTCCTTTCTGGTTAAATGACAGCTGAGGATGAGGCAGATAAGACATCACAAAATTACTGATTTGATTCAATTTTCAAAAAGTGAAAGAAAGAATAAAAATACAGAATATAAGAGAAAAAAAACACAAAAAGCAAATTGTTCATTGTGCAATACATTAAAATGTAGCTGTTTTTTTTTTCTTTCTTGAAATCTTGCTGAATTAAAATGTATTATATTCAGCAAGTTCAGTGCAGAAAATTAGTCTTCTGAACTTCAGAAAGATCATTTTATGTAATAATTAATGTTATTCGCCATATGGCAGCAAAAGCTGTGCACAAGTTAAGAAAGCCTCCCTCATACCTGAGTCGACAAGGATGAAGAGATAAAGAGGAGAGGATGATGTACCATCTGTACAGTACAGACCAGCTTTGGGAATTAGGACTGAACACACACACACACACACACACACACACACACACACAAAGTGAACTATTTGCCAGCGAACAAACTCTCACTTACTTTACTACTGAGACAAATTAATACAAATACACACCGTAGCAACACAAAAGTAAACTGAAACCACTTGCTCCTACCTCCACTCTAGTAGAGTCCACTCTTCAGTCCTTGAAGAAAGTCAGCTGCAGTGGCAGAGTTTTCTTGTCCTCTGCTTTTTGTCCTCTTTTGTGACTCCACGCCTTCATATGTCAGGCATGTGTTTGCATTCCCACATATGTGAGCTCCAGCGCAGTGAAGGCCAAAGCCAGAGACACAGATGGCACCCAGATGGAGATGGATAACCGAGTAGACCAGCAAACACAGGACTCCACAAACTCAAATACTCTCGCTTACTTCCCTTCTGTCCTTGAGGTTTTGATGTTTCTCATGCAAAGCTCTCTGCCACTGTCTATTCCTGTTACACAGTCTGTTGTACCTAAGTTAGTCTCTCTGATGGAGTCTCTGAATATGCCTCCTCTCTCACGCTGGCTCGCTCAGGCTCTGAGCTTCCTATCCTCTCACTCTGCGCCTTTCAGCTCAAGCTCCTCCCCACTTTTCCCACATGCTATGCTCTCCCCTGTTTCCATGGGTCGAGCGCTCCAGAGACGTCACAAACTGCCTCCCACTGAGCCCCACCTCCTACTCTCCACATGGATTCTGGCCAATCCTCCAATGCAGACTGGCCCCATTCAACCTGCATTCACCGGCGATGGACCCCGCAATTAACATAACTAATTGCTTTGGCACCTAAAGGCTAAACAAGAAGCTGTGCCAAAGGGAGACAATCATAGGCGTGTGTGTGTGTGTGTGTGGGTGTGTGTGTGTGTGTGTGTGTGCATATGCATCTGCATATGCGTTAGGGCGGGTCTTTTCTAGTCCCGTTCCCTTCTACCCTCCCCTCTATCCTATTGAGAAAAGTACAGATCCCTCTTTTAAGAGTTTTTATGCCGTTTATGCAGTCTCCTTTCGTAAGATGACGTTGTCTTTTGTCTCTTTCATGCATCAACTCAGCTTTGAATCGCCAGCCAAAGCAAAAAGGGGGGACACTTGAGGAGCATGAACGAGCAATTCTGCTCCCTATCCACTGCTCTCTGTCTTTGCTGAGTTAAACTTAAATCTCCAACTGATTCATGCTTGGCCTTTTTCACAAGTGCAGACACAATGCAGGTCAAGATAATGGTCCCTGGCCCAGACTCTAAAACACCAATGTTTCTGCGAATTTCCTACTTCAAAAGTTCTGTATTTTATTTTTATCAGACTGTAATTTTGAGATTTTTATAGCAGTCCTTTATTCTGGGCATTTGTGCATAAAATACTTAGTTGAGGTTTAATATTTGCATGTTCCCCTCAGGGTTGGCTGTCGGTGAATGCTTCAAGTGAAAGAGTTCAGGTATTTAGTTGCTTGTTCAAGAGTGATGGTGAGATGAAAAGGGAGATGGATGGATGGATTTGGGTCATATCTGCATTAACGCCAGAACTGCCTCTGCTGTGGTGGAGAAAGAGCTCAGCCAAGTAAAATGCAGGTCAGTAGGCAACTTGGGTTTAAATGCTTTGCCCAGAGGCACACTGATATGTGACAGGAGGAAACTGGAAAAAACCTACCATCTTCTGAGTGCAAGACGACTACTGTATGACTGTGATGTTAGAACCAGAACCAGGAATTGATTGAGGGGCCACATTTCCTTTCTGGTCAGATGCCCCAGAGTGACCTTGAGAGTTTTGCTGGGGAAAGAATATCTGGGTTTTTCTAGACCTGTTAACCCTGGAAAAAAAAGAAAACAATCTATGCATGGATGGATATAGAAAGGGAGGAAGAAGATAGGGACAGATGGATGGATGATGTTTAACAACTGATTATTTCAACCCTTCACCATTCATACCTTTGAAACTCTAGTAGTTTTTCATTCCTTTTTGGGTACAAATTTTTGCCATTCAACACAAGACCTGTTTTAATGACCATCAGCGTAAACTGGAGAAAATTCAAGATAATTGTCACTGTTCTAGTCAAACTGGTTGACCAAAACCAAAATAAATGGGAATTCAATGTAATGCAATTTCTTAGATCAAAAATTACAATATAATTCATTTACCCAGGAGATCTGAATATTGTTGATTGTGTATCTTTATATTCATGAAAGTATCTAACAGCAATAAAAACAATGCTACAATTTAAGCTCATGAGTATCTCATGCTTTTTTTTTGACATGTATGAAATTAATAAAGGCAAGGATAAAATAGTTAAATAAGTATGTATCATTCGGGAGAAGCATAAAATAAATAAGTTATGACACTATTGAAAGAAAAACTGATATCAATTATGAATAGCACAGGTTTTACTGAGTCGTTATCAGTATTCATACTGATTTCCCTCAATCACAAAATAATTTGTTTGTTTTTTATTTGCACAGGTTTGTAGCAGTCTGCATTTGACAGAATATTCATCAATAACAATCACTGCCTCTCCTCTCATAGGTCTGCTCCATTCAGTGTGCATCTGGTCAGTCAGCAGGCTCAGAGAGAGGGCCAGGTGGCTGAGAGGGGGAGTAAGAAAGAGGGTGAAAAGATGGGAAATCGCAGACGGCCGAGCATCTGTAGATATGTACGGTAACCAACATGCTATTGGAGCACGTAGAAAGTGGAAATCAGGCCTCAGTGACAGACAAATCTAACCGGTACAGCAGTTTCGATTTATGCACTAAAGTTCTGCTATTTGTAAGACAAAATTCCAATTAGCAACATAAACAATACTCATGAGAGACGCAATATTTCAGATTCTCAGATTTGAGTGAAGCATGGAAATTCTCATAGCTTTCATGGTGAACATGTGATATTTGCTGCTTTTTAAAAATTATTTCACTTTGCAACACGACCGACGTGATTTACTGAATGATAAACATTCATAGCTACAAGTATGCCATCTAAGCCAATTTCCTGCTCAAAAAAATAAATGAAAACAACAACAACAAAAAAATAAGATTAATTCCTTTACATCCCTACTTCAAAAATAGTAAAAGAATACTAGGACCTGACTCAATGACCAAAGCGTCTCATGCATAACATAAGAAGCTTTGGTCTACTTGGCCTAAACTGAGGTCTAAATAAAGTTGTGTGCAGGCGGAGAAAGCTTAAAATGGCTTGCAAACACAAGACATGGCAACGATTGTACTAATTATACTCTTTGATTCTCCGTGTTAAAACTCTTCTTACTTTTAATCTTACTGATTTGCTAATATGTTCATAGATAATAATATTATATTATAAATGTACCGTAATATCTGCACTGTATGTTCTTCAGCACAATATGAATATGAACCATCTAAAGAATTGATTTTTCAGCTATTTTTCTCCACTTGAACTTTGATGAATGAATAGAAAATAAGTTAGATAACTGTATTGTTTATACAATGTTTAGTACTAAGTAAGCATTGATAATGTGACAAACTAATCCACTTTAAATGCTCAATGTCTTCATCAGGCATGCTGGCCGGATGAAGACATCTGCTGGCATGACTTGTCCAGCATGTTTTTTATTTTATTTTTATTTTTTATTTTTTTTTGCTGAACGAACCTGCTCTGGCACCCCGGCTGTGTCTCTCTGGCCCTGCTTTATCAATCAATCAATCAATCAATCAATCAATCAATCAATCAATCACATTTTATTTGTATAGCACATTTCAGCAGCAAGGCATTTCAAGGTGCTTTACATAATTAAAAAACAAATTAAAAACAGCATGTGACATTGAACAAACAGTAAGAAAGAGAAAGAGATTTTGGAAAAAGGAAAAAAAAGAAAAAGATTTTTTTTAAAAAGACAAAAACATACTTTTGTTACGGAATTTAAGTGCCTGTCGTCGCCGGACTCCGCCGTCCGTTTAACACGGGTATTATCCAGGCCCAGTGGCCTAACAGGACCCCGTTGCCTAGAAATTGAAAGCTGTTTTTTTTTTTTTTTTTTTTTTTTTTTTTTTTTTTTTTTTTTCATATGCGGCATAAGTTAAATAGAACATGTAGTACAGCATCTGGGCTTTTTAAATTCAATTCTGCTGTTGATTTCTGATTACTGATGTGTTCTATGGTGAAGAATTAATAACATCGCATTCTGCATTCTGGCATCTGTAATTAAGACATTTAGCTAGGGTGCTTTGGTAGCAGCCACATAAGAAAAGAATAATAGTACATTAAATTGGAGAACACAATCAAAACAACAACATAAAAACCCTTTCTAATAAGGTATATGATTGGGTAATGAATACAGGCATGCTGCATTCATACTGAATGACTTCTTTCACTGTACAGACACAAGTCACATACAGCTGTTTGCCATTGTGCACATGTGTGTGAAAGATAAGGCGTGAGAGAGGGCGAGAACTAGAAAGTATGCAGCATCTGCGAGCGTTCACACGCTCCCTGTCCAAACTTCCAGTTTCATAAAAAGTAAACAGAAGGCTTTTATTGTGGAAGATATGGGGATTTTATGATAAGTGAATAAATAAGCAGTCTTTCAAAAATGGTCAAATTAAAATTCTACTCTACTACGTCTTGTTTCTTCATTTACACGCCGTTGAGCTTGTTAAATGAACGGCACATATTTGAAATGAACAAGAACATCCATCATTGTGCTTTCATTAAGTTAAAACTCTAAGAGCGAACATTTTAAAACAGCATGGTTCAAACAACGTCAATTGGATCGAATCTCATTGTGGATTTTTTGGAAAAAAAAAAAAATTCTAATCATCATGGTCTTGTTAATATAGGCTATATATTGTGGTTGACCAAATTTAGTCTTAGGCATTTCTCTGTATCAAAGGGAGATAATATGGGGAACATGTTCATAATTACAGAAAACTCAATTAACAGAAGTCTGTTCGTGTACAGCAGGGGTCCTGTAACTATTGAATATGTTCCTGGTCCCACACATCTGAATAAACTGGCTGAATCATCTCCTCAGTATGCAGTCAAAGAGGCCATTATTTGACAGAATATTCATATAATGACTTCTTTATTTGAATCAGGTATACTGAAGAGGAGACACATCTACAATGTACAGGACGTGAGACCTCAATGCCTGGTCTAAAGAAATATCACAATAATAGTGTCTAAGAAGTTTTTCCATTCTTTAGAGAGACAAACTAGTAGTATTAGCATTATTCATGAAATTGTTCACTGACTTGTATGCCCTATTTTCCAACACACACTGTCTAACTAGTGCCTGCCTTGTATCACTGTCAGTTGCTCAGTGGAAATCAGTAAACTTTTTGGAAACTTTCTTTTTATTGTTTAATGTAGCAAGCAGCTTTGAATACAGTGAGTAAAAATAAATAAATACACCCACCAGAAACTCTGCCGGATTCCTTAGTACTGTTGAATTCATTTTCATATGGCAATGTGACTAACACATGGTGAGACAATTTTGTTTTCATCACTCTGAAAGTTTGAAATGGTAACCTTGGAGATTGAATATCAGTGGAATAGTTGAGGCTGTAAAAAACATGGCAAAGATCTTTATTAGCTAAAGAATGAATTTGCAGCTTTTTTGCCACTAGTCAGTTTTC